TGCTTTTGATACTGACTGTATGTTAAGACATTTGATATGATTCAATGAATACATACTCAAGGCTGTTTGCGTAGCTAGACAATATCCTAAAACTCTAGCTCTTAACTCTAAATCTCAACTAAGCGTGTAAACGAAGGATTGTCGATGTATCGTTGTATTACATTTGATGTCAGTTTGCGATGAAAACCCTAACCCTGATTCATAACTTTAGTTTAACACTTAATACTTATTCCTAACCTTCTTGAACCACAGCAGTTATCATTTAGGTGACAGAAAACCTTACAGGGTCACAAACCTGAATAACAAAACTAGTTCAACTCCTAATATGTAAACTCAATGTTCTTCTTTAACTGTAAAGCATATTTCAACATTCATTAGCCAATTAATCACATTAAAACTATTATTATATTGTGATTTTATTGCTTTTTATGGTCAGCTATTTTATACTAAAACCTTTTATCATGATTGTTAAACAAGTCTCTCAAGGTCGTCAGTATCGTTTACTTTTACCAAAATTGAAATCAACAAAAGTAGATAAATATTGTAATTTCATATTACTGTATGCACTATGAAACTAGGGCTTCATAAAAGCTGTGAGAACGATCACTCAAGTGTGCCATAATAATAAGAATAATAATGACTAGTCATTCCTACTAGAAGCCGTTGTTCGAAAATATTAATGAATGAACATGGCTTTATGATGAATGTTAGTACTGTAAACCATGAATGTGAACTACTCTTTGCGATCATCAACGTAGATAAATAAATGGTCTAATTATCATAACTTGGTGATATCTGACATGATTGTTGATCATATTCGATCAAGGAAAAACGCTGACCATGAGCGACATTGTAAGACAGTATCAATTGCTGGAAAACACCAAACGAATAAGTGATACCAAATATATTCATTGAGGTTTGGATTATTCTGGAAGATAAGTACTTCAAATATTCTCAGATTTGCTGACGTCCATGACATGAATTCGATTGTAATGCAAGTAAACTATAAAAGGCCAAAGTGGTTGGAGTATGTGTAATGTATGCTCAGGGATCATCTACGTGCAACTATGAATTAGTTAGAGGGCTAGGTGGTACCAAACCAAAAAGTAGTATCGATCAAAAACGTGATTGAATGGTGAACTTAGTTGTTTCAGTAAGCACAATCTTGTTGATCATCGTATGTACCATAAATGTATCCTAAGGTTGGGAAGTTTGCGACATGGTTCGAAATCAAATGTAGTAGCCCGAATTATTTCTCTGGAATTAACAAGTTTGCACCTAATAATTCACATTTCCAGCTTTAATCAATTCATGATATGATTATGAGACTATAGCTGAGTTTCATCGGTTATACACTTGCCTCATACTTGATATGGTTGGATTACACTAATCATACCTTTCCACCCACTAGAACTTCCAATATCCATCTCAAAATTAGCTACCCGTAAGTATATAATTTTTATTAATAAGTGTAAATTAAGTTTGAACATAATAAAGAACTAATTTATTTATTTGAACACATAAATATTGATACAAGAGGGCACCAAATATATATGCGCCACACAAAAACAATGAGAATTTGGAGCGAAGAAGGAGAAAAAAGGTAAGGAGCGTAAAAAAGAACAATAACGAACATATTAGTGTAAGGTAGTGTAATAACAATAATAATGGGAGAAACAGAAACGTACAATCAGAAAGAGATCTTTCAGTTAAGGAAGAAGCAACCACTTTTTATGAAGTAAAAGAAGGTTACAGCAGGATCGCCACTGTCTCCTATTCCGAACCATATCTGATAACGTCTCTAGCCACTGTGTCGCACCATCTCTCGGACCCCAACCGGGGGGTCGTGAAGGACCAACAGAAGTCAGTCCTGTGCAGCTTTCATACGACGACACCATGTCATACACTGACCACTTATCCGTTTTTCCCAACCAGTCTCAGCGTCCGCAAATAATGAACGACGTGAAATTCTCTAGGACGACATTTGTAGAACATGTCCAAGCCACCGAAGTCGATGTTTCAAGATGGTGACACCAATTGGATTATGATAAGATGAAGGAATAGGAGACACATATTGTGATTTTCGTCAGTCAGTCAGTCAGCTACAACGTAGGACCAGGCACATATGTGCGTCGGTCCAGGTTGCCATACCTCATTACCACAACAAGATGAACACTGGATTCATAGGAGTGGTTAGGTCAAAGGTTGCAATAAGGATATAGTATAGGAAGGAAGAATTAGTTCGTAGAAAGAAAGATATGAAGTGATTTTAATCTCTTAGTTTAAGGGAAGATAGAGAGTGTATACACCGACGCCATTGTGATCGATTCTGAGCCATGTCACCAAGAGTCTCCAACCATTGGTTACGAAAGTCACGCGGACCCCAACCAAGTAGTCTGCATCTACCAACATGGCTAAGACTAGAAGTTAGTGACTTCAAGCACTGATGCCACGTTTTGGTTTGGCCGCCCCTAACTTTCTTCCAACCATCCCCTACACCGGTTAGCATTGCACGTCGTGGTAATCGGTGTTCAGGCATACGTAATACGTGGCCCAACCATCTCAGTCGATGAAGATTCATAACCTCATCAACTGATTTACCATCATTCCCTAATACCCTGCGTCTAACCTCACTATTACTTACCCGGTGATCCCAGCAGATGCCAGCAATATTTCTAAGGCATCTGTGGTCAAATACTTGTAGTTTACGGGTGTCTTCTACTCTTAAAGGCCATGTTTCGCTGCCGTAAAGTAAGACAGAACGGACTGCCGCGCAGTATACTCGTCCTTTTATTGATAGACGGATATCTCGCCTCCGCCAAAGGTTCAATTCAATATGATTACTCATTATAATATATACTTTATACTTTATTCAAGATACAATATTCTTGTATTCAATTAAAGTGAATTAATGTTTAGCATAATATACAACATGCGATTATGTTATCATTTCATAAATGTAATTCTTTTTTTTCTAAACAAAAATCCAGTGGGTATACAAATCAACATAGAAGTGAGTGTATCTTTGATTACGGGTCAGATTGATGAAAAAAAACACTAACTTGTGAATATGGAGATCAAAAGATTATAAATCAGTTTGAGAAACATTATAAGAAGTGATATTTTGTTGCAATAGATTTTAAGGTTAGAATTAGGATAGAATTAACTTTAGGGATAGTGATTAGGTAATATATAAGTTAACACTATACGTTAACGGTTGGGAACCCACAACTAAATTGGGTATAATGAATTAATCACGCAAAAGCAATATTTGATAAAAGCGGAAAACAGCAATCCAATCACTCTTGATGGCGAAGCTCTGGAAGATGTAGAATACTTCACATACCTAGGAAGCATCATCGATGAACAAGGAGGTTCAGATGCAGACGTAAAGGCGAGGATTGGCAAAGCAAGGGTCGCATTCCTACAATTGAAGAACATATGGAACTCAAAACAACTTTCAACCAATATCAAAGTGAGAATCTTCAGTACGAACGTCAAGGCAGTTCTACTGTACGGAGCTGAAACTTGGAGAACTACAACAACCACAATCAAGAAAGTACAAGTAATTATAAATAGCTGTCTACGCAAGATACTCAACATCCATTGGCCGGATACCATCAGCAACAGCCTTTTGTGGGAGAGAACAAATCAGCTTCCAGCTGAAGAAGAAATTAGGAAAAGACGATGGAAATGGATAGGACATACATTACGCAAACCATCAAACTGCATCACGAGGCAAGCCCTAACTTGGAATCCTGAAGGGAAGCGAAAAAGAGGAAGGCCAAAGAACACATTGCGTCGGATAATAGAAGCAGATATGAAAACGATGAATTACAACTGGACGAAGCTAGAAAGGATTGCCCAGGACAGGGTTGGATGGCGAATGCTGGTGAGCGGCCTATGCTCCTTCACGAAGAGTAACAGGCGTAAGTAAGTAATGTTATACTTAAATCCTTGAGAGAGCAATCAAAATTAAGGTGGCCAATGTTGAACATTAGAGCGAATTTAAAACGTTATCATGGATAGATTTATGTTGGATACCATGTTTCTCACTAGGTTCCCGAATTTTAATGGAATGGATGAGGACTATTTTGTCCAGAGAAGTTGGGTTTAAAGTGTTAGAATCAGGAGTTAAAGTTTAGAAGCCATCAAGATTTCCAGACTAATTTACCGATGGTATCCCCTAACAAAATCAAATAATGACGTTAAAGTCCTGAAATCGGCGTAAATCTACCAGTTTTTTTCACAAAAGCTGCATCCTGTTTGGCTATCTGATCAGGTTCAAGGTTATTTTAAATCTCTTAAGGCCGTCATTATAGTACACTCGCACTCAATGATGCACTCGTAAATCATTGTGTTTCGTACAATGTTTCATTCATCCACATTTGCTCATTCCTGATTGGTTAAAAGTTTTCAAGGCCAGTTGAGCGTAACAATTCAAAGAATATGAGACTTATGAATGTTAATCGATTTAAGGGAGGTTTATGCGTCATTATCGATCCATGCATTCATAGTTTGACAAGAAAGCTAAAAAAATTAAGTTTTTCTTAATGGAATGATATCAATTTTCATGAAATTATATTTATATACAGTTAAAGCACAAAAAAGTGGAGATTTGTAGCTCAGATGGATGATTTTGATGTAGTTTTATTCTTCGAGCTGGATGGTTTAATCATGGGGCTTTCATCGTTCTTCTGAACAACATCATCAGTACATACTTCAGGTAGATAATGATATTGTTCAGAATAACGATGAATGCTCCTAGACTAAACCATCCAGCTCAGAAAACAAAACTCCATCAAAAAAGTATAATTTAAACACATTTTAAGATAATTATTACAACACCATAAGTACTTTTCTTTTTAACTATTCAACAAGATATTGAATGAACTCAACAAAGAAATATAAACTGTGAAAGACTATAGAAGCATTTAATTAAAGCATTTATTTGAAATAAGTAACATTACAAATGAAAGAGTATGATTAATAACTGGGATTTATTGTGATTTTTTGTATTGTAATAAAGATGGTAAACGATTTTGAATAAGTTGTAGAATATCAACTTCTTCGTAATAAATTATTATTAATGTGATGAATAAGAATCCAAATGTAATTGTACCATGTAATATCATCCATAGAATGCCAAAAGAACAACAGAAAAAGTACTAGAAAGAGTTAAAGCAGTAAAAAAAAACAAAGCAAGAAAATTAAATGAAAATTGGCAAAGTATAACAGAAGACAGAGATTTCATTGAAATCATGAATCGATCAATATCAGACCATCATTGGAAAACTGAAAGCACTGGACGACCACTTCTTCATAGTATCGTATTTCAAACAGGACTCAGTAGATGAGAATTGAACCCGGGACCTTCGACCTCGCGAGAACGCCTATCCTCTAGGCCACTTACGCGGTACTTAACGGTGTTAATGTTTAACCGAAGTGCTTTCATGTCTTTAACGGTGGTCTAGCATTGATCAGTTTATGACTTCAGCGAAACTCAAAAATCTTCACGATCCTATTCATACAAATAGACTACCATAGGCTACCATGGGACTGCATCTCATTACGTTGCTCCACTGCTTTGTGGATTAGATCTTTAGGTCAAAGTCTCGGGGTGTAGAGTCTCCTAAGAAAACCACCTGCTTCGGTTTGAGCATCCCGGTATTACCCTATCCCTTACACAAATCGAATGATTAGTGTGGAGCATATGTATTTGGTGCCTTCTTGCACCAATGTTTATGTGTTTAAATAAAATAATAGAAATCAGAGTAGGTTGGAAGAAAGCTATGGGTAGCCAAACCAAGACGTGGTATCATTCCATCAAGTCACTAACTGTCGAAGTTAGCCATTTCGGTAGATTCAGACTACCTGGTTGGAGTCGGCACCATAACCGTGACCAGTGATTGGACACATTGGGTGAAATCCTTCAAAATCGGTCATAATGGTGTAAATGCATTCACTAATCGTCTGCCATAGATCCTGAATTTCACGATCATAATATATTTTTATTCTAAAAATTTATTCCACTTGAATTACATTCTGTTTAATCTTTTGTTACTATTACTAATACTACTTATGTAGCTTTGGTTTTCATCTTGGTAATTTTACAGATTGATCTGAGTTGAAATATCAAAGAAAACCAAGGAGTAATAGACAAAAGTCATGACTAATAAAGTCCAAATATATTTAGAGTGAAAAAATTGCTATTCGATATTCTTCACAATGTATCAAAAAACTGATTAGAGTTAGAAGTGTACAATTGAACACCAATTCAATGGTTGTAATGACTAGGCTTTCTTCATGGTACACAACAATTTTGAGTTCGATTCCTAATGGGGGCGACATGTACGCAGTACATAGGAGTCCCATACTGGGAAGAAACAATAGTTCAGTTCTTATTTCTCAATGATACCTCGATTGAGATCAATTTGTGACGAAAATTACTATGACCTTTTTTAAACATAAAAATCAATAAACAAATGTACAATAAGACCAATAGAGGTAAAATAAAGAAAAAAAGAGACATAAACAACTCTTATCTTACTTGTGAAATTAAAGTACATACAAGTGAAATGGATAGAATGCACATTTCATTATATGATGGAAACATTAATGATAATAATGAAATATTTGAGAATTTTTCCATTTCACAGTTTGATAACACCACGAAAGTCGATGATTTTTTACTACTACTGCAGCTGCTATCATTATCATCATCATCATCCAAGTTGTTTTGTTTTTCAATATTCGTTGGTTCATCAATTTTTGCCAAAAATTTGTTAATATAATAAACACTGTCAAAGGAATAATCATCAAATAAGAAACAGAATCAATATTAGTAGCGAAACATAGGGGTAAATATATACATATATATATAACTTTTTTACCAGATACTTGGGTATGAACCACCGTTGAAGTGCAAAAGGAAATGATGCTATTCGGCCGCCTAAACCGAAGTAGGTGGATCGAGGTCCGAACTTACAACTTATTGGCTAGAAGTTGAACGCCTTAACCACTAAGCTACCAGTCCAGCACATCGACCATATATATATATATATATATATATATATATATATATATATATATATCGATTCAAATGGTTTTAGTTCACCTCATCAAAAACGATGGTCTACGCAAGATACTCAATGTCCGTTGGTCGGATATCATCAGCAAAGACGCATTGAGGCAAAAAACAAACCAACTAACTCGGAATCCCGAAAGGAAAAGGAAAAGAGGAAAATCAAGGAACACATTGCGTCGGGAGGCAGACATCAAATGAATGAATAGCAATGAGAAACAACTGGAAACGATTACTCAGGATAGAGTTCGATGAAGAATCCTGATCGGCGACCTATGCTCCTCCACGAGGAGTAACAGGTGTAAGTCATCTAAATATCTTTAGCTGGACAACCATTAAACACTAGGACGTATTGGAAAACGTTTTAACCTAATAATATTGAACTCTTCAATAGTGTAATCACTTACGGTATGGATTATTCAATTTGCATACCAATAATATATGTTTATGTACTCTGCTTTGAATTGCAGCATTAGTATGTGAAAATCGATGATATCAACTAGTTGCCTATGATTCATCAAGGACTGAATTCATACCCTTGAAGATTGCCAGTTAGTGCATTACCATTAGATCAGTGACTTGATATTCAGTAGTCCATAATTCCATGTTCAGGTAATTGTAGACAATGTGTGACCAGCATCTAACATGTTTTGTGACGATTATCTCATATCCCGTAAACCTCTATAAATATTTAGCGGGTGAAAAACTTCACTTTATCTGCTTCTAGTTTCGATTTCCAGATTGTGTTGATTGTTGATTTATATGTATTATTTTCCTTATTAAATGTAGGTGCATTTTGTGAGCTTGCTAGGTCGTCGGCTCACTTTTTCTTTTGTACTCCTGTCTTACAGCTCTCATCACTCAAACTAATCTGTATGCTCCCTTGACACATAAATTACATTCTGGCTAGATACGAGTTGCTTCAAATTGTTTGAACACATAAATATTAGTACAAGAAGGCACCAAATACATATGCTCCACACTAATCATTCGATTTGTGTAAGGGATAGGGTAATACCGGGATGCTCAAACCGAAGCAGGTGGTTTTCTTAGGAGACTCTACACCCCGAGACTTTGACCTAAAGATCTAATCCACAAAGCAGTGGAGCAACGTAATGAGATGCAGTCCCATGGTAGCCGGTGACCAACAACAGGTTCATACTCTATTTAATTCCTTAGGATCCTGGAGCTCATGTGAACCATTGGTTTGGAATCAGGGTTTTCCCACTCCCTTAAGTGGATTCTCCGTATCCACAACCAACCTGGTTATAGCGCCGGACATTCGCTTTCCGTACTCTCAATTTTGTAAACAACACCCGCCACGAGAAGGCAGTGAGTAGGACTTCCGTGAGAGTGGCTGTATACGCCTGGTCATGTGAGAACAGGGACTAAAAATAATTTAATAACAAACACTTTACAAACACACAACATTCATTTTCTTACCTATATAAAATACGAGTAATCATGTTAATACAATTGGCCAGTACAAAACCGTATACATTGAATATTGGGACAAGAAACCAATTTGCGCTGAGAAATATTATGGAAAATACTATTAAACGTTGATTGTGACGTAAAACTTCATCCTGTGAAATAAAAAAGAAGTGGTAGTTATTAAATAAAGTGATAAGCCTTCCTACCGATAAGCTTAAACTGTCTTCTTAGCAGGTTTCTATAACCTCATCTACTTGTACATGTCAACTGGGACACTAGAAATAAGCTGCGAACTACAAATCAAAGCTTTACTTCAAACTTAGCTTATGCACAAAACAGCGAGGGTATTTATAGAGTTGCACACGACCTTGGGTCTCTGGAATCATACTAAATATAGTAGCGGTATATGGGAATATTCAATCCAAATCGTGGTACGCAATTATGTATTTTCTAGATGTTTTTGTGATGAGTATTCAACGCTGATTAGATAAGACGTTCCATGGAGTTTCTGTGACTCTAAAGACTTTGACGAGGAAAAATTTGAAACTCTCCGAACACCAAATAAGTTGAGATAGATAAAACAAAAAGGGGACTTGGTTAGTAGTAGCGGTTGCCCAATAGTGGTTAATGACTTCCTTAAACGACAATAGGTTTGGGATTTAGTCTCCTATATTCGCTTCTTTCAACCTAATCTTATGTCAGCTAACATTGTGCGTCGGTGGTGATTGGGTAAGTATAAGTCATGGATACACAGTAACCATTACCTATCGAGCTTGAAATTCAGCAGTCCGAAGAGAAAGTCATGTCAGTGATTTGAGCTAAACATTTTGTTAACAGAACGAAGTGAATTGTATTAATACGTTTCTTTTCTCAAATAAGAACGATATACGTATATAATAAAACATACGAAACTTACTGTTGACATTGCGGAATTCAACAGCGCTTCAGTCGAACCATTCCATGCAAGTAACAAAACATAAGCAGAATATAATTGTAATAAATTGACCGCTACATAATTATCAGCTAATCTATGCCCAGCGTAAATCATTAATAATAAACGAGAATTAGCTTGAGCAAAAGTTACACCAATCCAAGCTATAAGACTTGAAATATGTAAAGCTGTTTTAAGCATACGAAATGCATCCATAAGTAATTTCTGCAAATTAGAGAGAACAAGACGGATCAATTAAAATTTACAGTTATGTATAAGTCTGACCAACAAGTAGATTCGAGTTACAGCTCTATTAACTTTGGTTCGGGCAAATTAGGTTAATAAGCCCTACTCATCAGTTTAGAAACTTGGTTTAAAATACATCACACGAAACTTGTACATACAGAGATGTGGTACATTAGTAAATGAGATGATCATAGATATCACACATGTTATGTTTTATTCTTAATCTTAAAAATAGTATAACGCAACATTGAATAAAAATAATATGTATCACGGAAACTATCATACTGCTCAGATTATGAAAACCCTTTTCGGTTACCATACTAAGTAACTTGAAAAGACATAAATACAATTGATTGATCTCTGAGTGGTGGTTAGAGTGATGTTTCAGGGCGGATTAAATCCTTTCGGCAAAGTTCCAATATAGTCATTAGTGTAAATGACTCGACACCGAGTGCACTAAGTTAGAATGTTCAATGTTTGGATGTAGTCGGCAAGAAATACTACTTAATCTAGCATTTTGGTATGATAGCCGATATGATCAAAACATTAACGTTAAGCTCCTAATCCTAATTTCTGAGGCTAATTCATACCCCCTATTTGGAATTCTATAATTCGTTGACGTTTTCAAGGTTAATTTAGTATCGCTCAAAGGTCATCCATAAATAAAAGTTGTGAGACTTACCCACAACCAACTGATTAAAAACCCGATAGTCTACAAATTTTCTAAATTCATATAGGTCACGACAAAAATCATCTCCAAGATTTAAAATTATCTCTACATGTTGCATTTTTCTACCGTCTGGTATCCCTCAACTAGAAAAAACAATTTCTATTTCAACAAAACCAAACAACAAAGATACAGAAGTAAACGTATTCCAGTATGTTATCCATTTACCTACTAGTGATGATTAGTAGGAAATGTATCAATCGCCATATTCGAAATTCAGCCTGAACTGAATAAGCAATGGCTAGGACTCTATCCGGTCAATATCAAAACATTGACACAAAGTAAGCCCTGTTATTAGCGAGAATTCAATCGCTGAAAAAATTCTATCATATCAACAACAAAAAATGAGGTAGATGAACGAAGAATATTCTTTTTAATAAATTCACTTTTAATTATTCTTCTATCAACCTTGACTGTTTTTATATTGGCGTATGTGTGTGTATTTCTTATCCTAATCATCACATGCCTGTAACTTATTTTTGGTCTGACTATAAATATCGATTCACGCTTGGTTAAACCGAGTTGGCTCAATCACCTTCTTCACTGCGTGTCACTTTGTTTTGCATCGCTTTCCAATCAACGATTGTATGAAATGCACGTATTCGAAATCCATTCTCGTATTTGACTTATTTAATTCCGTTATACACTAGGCGCAATTTAAGTCAATGATTGTATACACGGGTAGGCGGTATGTATATTTCAATAACAATCATCCAAACGATTTAAGTGAAGTCAGATATAGGACTATTAAAATCCATACCTTTTACCTTGGTCAACATCTGACCTAACTTAGTTGATAACCATTTTTATGACATGGTGAAGCAGTCTGATCAATGTTCATTTTTATAGCTTAAACTCGTCTTATTCACACAGAATAATAATAATAATAATAATAGTAATAATAATAATAATAATAATAACAATAATAACAATAATAATAATAATAATTATTATTATTATTATTACCTTTATTGTCATCATTATTGTTGTAACACTTGAAAACACTGAGAAATTTATTTAGCATTCATCCCTATTTACCTATTCGTATCCAATTCATATTATTCTACATAGTAAGAATTCAATTAAACATCACAAAATATACACAGTATGAGTGAGAACTTACTTTGTCTTGTTTACTTGGAGAGACATCTCTTTGAATACATTGACTAAACATAAAATGACAACTTTCTTCCAATGGTAAGAAAAGTAGACGAGCCGCTAAAGAGCCCAAATTATTGACGAGATCATATATACCTAGAGAGGAGAAGAAAATCGACATAGTTTAGGGGAAGTAATGCAGCCCAAATCATCATTACTGAAAATTTAGGGCCTTTGCTTCACTGGGCTTGAGTCCCGGGTTGAGCATCAACACTGGGATGCAGGTACATCCAGCTGATGAATCTCAAAAACGATGAAATGAGTGTCGAAGATTCCACTGCTAGCCACCATCCATCTCAGCTTAGAAGGAAGATAGATGTTTATCATCTACTCTTATAGCATCATTTGATTTTATTTGTTTCCGCAGCCATTTAGTTACATGTTCAGACACCGTAGTTCACAAATCATGATTACTCCTCCCTATGTATGTATGACCACACAAGGATATAAAATTCATAAATACAGTGGGATATGACGCCCATGTTGATATCTCACATGGAATCGCCTCGAGCAAAAATGACCCATTATGATGCTGATCGTAATACTGTTTAAACTTGTGCTCATTTAAGTCTGTTATTGATCTGCACCGAAGAAGTGTCTTATACTACGCTCCAAAACGTTATAAATCTTAATTTTTACTCATTAGATTAAACAGAATAGGAGTATTGAATCCTACTGATCAAAAGTTAAATTGTCTAATTATTGGACACTAATGGTTCAATAAAATTTGTGCGAACCATCGATAAAATAATTCCAAAATAAAGGACACATATATGTTTCCTATACAAATTAAAATTACTACTTACCCTGATCAGTGAAACTTATCAGATGGAACGCACTGATTAAATATCTTTCACCTGAATAGACCAACAAAAGAAGTTGAAATCAACGTGAGTTTAGCACCAAGGAAAGTTGGATTTTTATTTTGCCTAATCAAAATAATTAATTAGCTTATTTGGTGAAAATATTTTTTATAAATACAAAGTTAGAACGAAAGTAAAACAGTTCAGCAATTATTAAACTGATCCAGGGGTAATAAATTTTCAAATCAACAAGACGAGAATTTAATTTCAATGCTGAAACTTGATGACCCAAATTAACTGTCCATACGTTAAACATTCACTTACTATTTACAATTGACTGATCACTAGGTATGTTAGGTCCTTCTTCATGACGTACGATCTTTTTTATTGTGATGCTTAGTTGTGCTAATCATCTGTAAAAACAGAAGTGGACCAAGTGGGTTCAAATACGTGTGACTTATTGGTCGGAGGGTGAAACTCGAGTATTTTAATAACTAAAATACCAACAAGTTGAGATTTGGATTGATCGATGTTAAACATCAATATCGTTGAATACCGGCTCAGTGATTTAGAGCTTAAGCGTTTGCAGAAATCGATTCGCTTGCGTGGACTCTTGGATGCACAATGACGAGGAGCCCCATATTAGGAAGAAACGGTCGTCTAGTGTTCCCAGATTTATATGGTGTTCTAACTCAGATTAATTCATGAATTCAACGAGAATTAGCAATCTTTAAAACCTCATACTGACAAAGTTGAGACTTGATCTAAAAAACAGACAAATATATCCAATTCTTATTTTGTATTTATAATAACTAAGTAGTGTATAGACTGTTACATGCATCTGTACATAGGTGATTTGTGTTAGCTTTATGAATGCTAATAACCTCAAAATAATCTGGTACAGATGAGGGTGGAAAGAGTTCTTTTCCCACCTCGAAATGCCCCATGTGAACGGAGATTTATAGTTCCTATCACAGAGGTTCTGCTCTACTCACTATCTTCACGTAGCAATCGGTGCTTTTGATGAAAGTTAGGGGATGAAGAGTGGATGTCAGGAGCTTAAACTAGGTTAGTGGGTACGGATAGTTTAAGTAGGGGAGTTGAAAAAACCTGACTACAAACCAGTGGGGTACATACATATTTTGATCACTGCTACCACGGGACTGCATCCTCTGACGTCACTCTAGTGTCTTATGAATCAAACCTCCAGATAAGAGGATCGGGGAGTAGTCCCTTCAAGTAAAATGACTCCTTTGGTTCGAGCAACCGAGTAGTACCACAGTCAACTAACAAATATGTAGCCACCTCGAAAGAAACTGTCTGAGGAATTTTAAATCATATCAACGTTAACACTTCTTACTTCATATTAAACATACAAAATATTTGCATACCTTCTGTTAAAAGTTGTTTCAGTATACACTGACCAAAAAAGTTCTTTACAAGTTGTAGGCCTTGTCGATCGATAGAATACTTTCATGGTGTAAAAAATCAAAAGAAATGTAATTAGTTACATTTTGCAGGTAATTAATATTAACATAGATAGTTTTGAATCGAAGAGAAACGATAGTGACTTTCTTCTAATTCCAAAATCAATCTAGAAATAGATTCAGGTACTGTTAAGTACTACTATGACAGCCTAATTTTCTATTACTAAGAAAATTAGTCTTTAAACTCGAATTTATTATAGTCACTCATAATCAACGTAGAGCCCGGCACAGATTTGTGTTGACCCAAGTTGACATAAGAAATTAGCACTAAGAGATAAACTTAAAGAAACAAATAGCGAACGAATAGAAAATGCAGCAGCTAAGATAGATAAGAAAGATTGAACACAGAGTTTAGCTCAAAAAGAGAATATTGGAAGTAGCGATCTAGAAGAATATAAAATGTGAATAGATTTGTGACATTGTGGGTAATTTTAACCAATTTTGTCTAGCGTCTCCAACCATTGATATAGGATGTCGCGTTAGTCCGGACCAGATAAACTTATTATAGGCAACTTTGATTATCAGTTTAACGTTTGCTATGATAAGCGGGCAAATGAAAATCGCTAAATAGAACTGATGGGTTGAATCGTTTTGGGATTAAATTAGAATTGGAAGTTTTGTTGACCAGGAAGTAATACCATAGAACAAAGTAAACAATTGCAAGGGCCCGGTTTCGTGTAGCAGCTTATAAGTAAGATTTGCTGTATTAGCTCTGAGGAGCAAACGATGGGCTATTTTAAGGGTCGATTTTTTCTAGACCATTACTCAGTTTGCGAGAAGGAAATATAACTGGGGCAATGTTGGGTTTTCCGTTAGAAAAGCATGACTATCATTACAAACCTGGTACAGTCAGCAGTTAAATGATTTTGACCAGGTTTAAAAGTGGAAAAAAGCTACATATCAGTGGTGTTGTATAACTACTTCTATATAATGGTGTAATAATCTTTACTGATTCAATCAGCCCATGAAACTATCAGCCAAGAGGAGGCCCTGTGGTGAACACACTGCAAATCCATCAGTTTAATATTCAATCTGTAAAATAAGGTATTTAAACCAATAATTAAGAAGTTTCATTTATATGAGACATATATATGGATGACACTTATTATTTGCGAAGAAAATCTGGATCTCAATGAAATCTTGGATGAATTCAATTATTGTCATTACGCAATTAGATTACCATTAAAGCAGAGATGAACGAGAAATTTCATTTTCTTGATTTCCTGTTAAAAAGAACGCTCGGTGATTTCTTACGAAGATCTAAACATAGAAAGCAACTCTGAAGTAGTCAGTACACGAATTCCATAACAGAGTTCCACTGAATAAGAAGAGAAACCTAATTCACCCTTTACCCTCGAGAACTAGGCGAATATGCTCTCATGACACAATAGATGACGCATTTCAGAGCACTACTCGTTGTGGCTTTTAAAGCAAAAATACAGAACGATCACTAGCTAAACACAGAAGCACTTCAACTCTGCGCACTTTACTCCAAAGAAATTGTCCTTCAAAACAATCTACACGGTAAAAAGAACTGGATCGAAGGGAGGCCAAATCTAAAACTTATGGACTACTGAGGAGTTCGCAATTCACCAATTGAAACCAGAACTCTGAATGCAAAAGCAATACGTCTAACCCTTCATCGTCCCTTGGTCTTAATTCTCTTCTCCAGTATCTTTTAGTTATGTTTTTTTCTTTAAATTAGTGTTTTGTAATTTTAAACCGTAATCAGTTATTTTTATCCAATAACAATTTTTCATGACTATTATTTAGTTATTATTATGACCCTTATGTTTTTTTCATTTTGTCTTCATCTCTGTTACATGGACAATTATCACACAATTCTAACCGTAAGTTATGTTCATCCTCCTACTCTTCTCTGACCTCTCGATCATTACGCAACCTAATTTTGATATTTTAAATTTCGGACCTATTTACGATGTGATGTCTTCCTATCCACCGATGGACTCAAATATACGTCAAGTAACTGTCAATACGAGTGTATAGCTTAAGTAAATGATTTTGTCGACAAGAAAGTTCTTTCACTGAGTTTTCTTCATTTGCCTAAATAATATAAACGCAGAAATATGAACTAACCCGAAAATAACTTGGTAAAATATCTTTTAACGAAGCGATTCCTGTGATTCCTTTAAGTTTCAATTCGTTATTTGATGTTGAACGTGGTATACCATATTGAAAATACAATAAGTAACTTATGAACAATGTTGAACCATGAAGAAGCTAAAAAAAATCAAAACCGAAAATGATGGATTGAAAAGACACTAGAACATCCTTGTCTACGGTTCATATATAAGTACAAATTTTTTACTACATTAAACGGGACTCCTGGGTATTACACATCCACAATGCTCGTCACGAGACCAGAAGGTCCCGAATTTGACCCCTGGTGTAGTCGTGGATATGTACTATTGAGTACCCCGCATAAACTACAACGAAACAGCAATCAAATGTTTTCTGGTTTGTAAGGTTTGTCTAAGATCAACCCATGATGCAAGCTAAAAAGTCCAACGATATTTACAAACTTTAATACTAATACTAGCTACAATTATCTTCGAAATAAGAATACAGTACACAAATATACACCCAGATAGAAGTAAATATTATGATCATATATAATATTGGGGCCTGCTTGAGCATCTGGGCTACCTGTTCCTGCCATCTAGATATTTCAACAAGTTATCTATTTTTGTTTGTTTTAATATATCATTATGTTTATTAATCTCACAACCTATTCTGCTGCGTTTCTGAAAAATGTACAACCTTTCGTTATCAAAGTTACAAAAAGCTCAAAAAGAGAGAATATGGTTGCTGGCAATATACAACGAAAAGAATGTACATCATTCCCATGTTCATTTACTGGACTGTTAACATCTAGCTGGCGACCACTCAGTATTTATCGCGAGGACCGACCAAGAAGAAAGAAACGGAAACTTGTTGAAATACTTTGTGCTGAGAATTCTATATTGTACCAATAATATAATATTGAATAAAGCTAATAATAATAATAATAATAATAATAATAATAATAATAATAATAATAATAATAATAATAATATAGTATGTTCCATAAACAAATGAACTGAGGTTATAAACACGTTATTTTACAAAGTTTAAAGTTCATCAGTCAAAATACTATCCATGTCATGAAACAATATAATTAGTCCATTTCCTTTTTTATGCTTAGAAACATCCATAGTGAACAAGGAAAATGACCTAACATGACAATCCAATTACTGGCCAGAAATTCACAAAATGTCCCTGCCGAATGTAGAGGTTAGCTAACATACCGAAACATACATGAATATTTAAATGCTTGAAAGTTTTTATAAACAAAGTACAGTTTAGTTTGTCCTACAATGCGATTGATTGTTTAGTAAATTTTGTAACCGACAATCGTAATAGTTCAGTTCGCATATCAATTTCAGCGACCATTTAACTGAAACCATAATGATACTCTTGACTAAAATAAATGATGTTCTGATGATTGCATGAATGTTTAAATGTAAAAACGAAAAATTGTACCTATACTGTGGTACATGCTACTTATGCTGACAGATGTAAGTAGTGTGTAGAAGTAATTGGTTTACCCCGCCTGAGATCTCATTTACTACAACATAAACAAATAATATGATAACTGTTAATACATAAAACTTACTTGAGGTATACTAAGTGAATAAATGGCATACTGGGATGGTAGAGTAAATATTGCAAATATTATTCCAATTGAACGAGCAGTATTAGCAAAAGCTTCAATGAAAATTCTTGCACGAACTTCATGAGATAATTGACAAATAAGCCATAATGGTTCAGTAGCTAATTCAAAAAGACCAGATAAAGCGTATATCATGATACAGAGGATGTAACGTTGTTCAATAATTGACGATGTTAAATTTAATTCAGAATTTGATTCATTAATTAGATTACTTGGAGATGGTAAGATGTAAATCCACACAAAACTCAATAGTATTACAATGATGAAACCAATTGGAAGTCTAAAATTTTGAAATTATTTATTACAATATAATTAAACTTACACTAGCCAAGCAAGATTTAAAATTCCATACAATTGTTCTTTATATTGTAAACTACACTGAATTGAAGTATGACCATCTTGATTAGTTTCATGCTTACAACTTTTAATAAACTGAGAAACATCAACAAAATCTTCATTTGTAGAATCAATTATTGTAGTAACATTTGCATTTGATAATGATTCAGTTGATTTTCTATTATTATTATTATTATTATTATCGTTACTATTGACTACTTGTCCACCACGACTAAGACATGCACGACGAAATGCTTCTCTTGAAGTAAATATCAATGTTGAATAAAATAAACCAAGTCGAACATTGACTAAGCCTAAACTAGCTGTATCCAAATAACGATAAGAAAGACTATTCAATAAAAATGTCATGATATGTAAAATCATTTGAAGTAGAAATGTATAACCAATTAAAGTAAATCCGGTATTGAGAAATTCCGAATCCTTATGATTAGATAATTTAGAAGATGATTCATTAGTAATATCATTTATATGCATATTATCATTTAATCTAATTTGATTTGATTTATTTCGGTTAGTGATTAAATAATTTGAAATGTTAAACTTCATTTGTTTTATTGTATTTTGTATAGTACTATTATTAGTTAGTGTTTTATTGTTGTTCTTAGCTGGATTCAAGGAAACTTCATCGCTGAAAAAATAAAATTTAAAATTAATGTAACAATTAAAATTTAAATAATGAACAGTAATTTATATTACGATTATTAGTAGTCATAACAACAAGAAAATATAAAACCAAATAGGTAAGTTCAAAAGATCAGCTCAAAATCGTGTTCTCTTAAATTCCAATCTTCTGAATTCTTCATGTCCTTTTTTTCTCTTTCCAAATTTATTTCACTGGATTATACCCCTTGAATAACATCTCCGAACCCTAATCTTTCCGATTATTGCTCATACTTTTACTACCTCTACCACTATGGGATTTGAATCGACAACTGCATCTCTGTACTAATGTGGTATGACAATTCGAATTGATGTACGTCCGTACGAAGTTCTACGTTATTATTGACTGACTGAAGTTTAATGAATTGACCTTGAATACAGAGTATAAGTGCTCAAGGCTATTGGGTTATTTTCATGATATTGATTTTTCCGTGAATCAACACATAACTTTCAACAAATGTCCAACATATGTGAACATGTAGAACATTTTGGGTTAATATGAACGGTTGTCGGATAAATGGTTAAGTGAATAAAAATAACTCAGCCCTTAATCATTAAGTTGATTCACCTAATTTAAGTTTAATAGCTCGGTATTATCACTAGTTCATATATTCAACACGTGCCTTAAAACCAAGTACATCAAAATGTACCTGAGAAATGACCTGGAAATTTTTCTATCATTCTCTGTAAGAACAAAACAAAGCGAACCATTGGAATTGAATCAGTTCACTTAACCAATTACATTGCTGAGAGCGTCATTCACCATACTGTCTTATGTAATATATTTAAATGTTTATTTCGTTATCTAGTTACGAGTTAGTCCATAATTGTGCGAATCCTTAACACCTTAATGGTTGCGCTGTACCATATATTCACAAATAATAAAGGATTAACAGAATAGATTATTTGTCCAAATTTATGATACCATCTTTCAAATTATTATTAATATTGTGGCCAAACTAGAAAATGTACCATTAAAAGGCATCCTAAGTAAGCTAGATTATTACATAAATTACATACTAATCGTATGTGACGAAATTATCGACAACCAAGAGATGTTAGACTGTTTCAATAACGCCCACCCAGGTGAATAAAGGTTAAGTCTTTGCCACCAGACGGAAGGCCCTGGGTTAGATTCACAGTAAAATCGTGGATGAGTACTCTTCAGGAGTTCTATACTACAACCAAACAGTTATCCAGCATTTCCTCACTTTCAACGGTAGTTCAACAAAGACCAGTCCGAGATATAAACTTTGAAAGTTGTAATTTGTCACATCCATCTTAAAATGTAATACATTTTTACTTCAGATATGCGAGATCAATAATTGCTTTTTATTATTTAACTATATGTATATAGATATATATAGACAGATAGTTAATGAAGCTATAAGAAATTCATTCTGATACTGAACTTTCAGTGGTTAAGTTATGTATTCAATATGATTAGCCAACTGCCCAGATTTGATAACCCATTGATGTCATGACTCCTAATCACAAAATCTACGAACTGTAACAGTTTGGTACACAAGAATTTGTACGGTAGCAGAAGGCTCGAACTTATTAAATAATCATATCAACAGGACAACTCAATCCTTAACGCAACTATTTATGACTTGTAGTGACCTTCGATAACATAACAAATAATGATTTATTGAAAGAAATCATAACAAAACAAAAAAGTCTAAATAGAAACTACTTGCACATATATATAAACAAAATTAAAACTTACAGATCATAAGGAATTACACTATCTGTTTGAAAGGACATTCCAACAGTAACAATAACAAGTCTGGAATATAAAATTAGTTTAAATGTTAAAAAAACAACTACATATATAAAAGAAACAATGGCAAAATTAAGTTCTATATGAATGAAAGGACAATTTTATACACATAATTCCCTATATCATTTTGAAAGGACAATTTGTTTTCTCAGCAGAATATTGATAGTAATTGAAATAAAGGAAATAAGAATAAATTCACATGAACATAAGAATCCTATATTAATTTAATATTTATAAGTAGTATATATTTTGAAAATGATTGTTTATTTGGATTTTGATGACGATGATGTTGTTGTTGCTGTACAAATAGGTGATATACTTGAAATAGGTAAACGTCCTTCTACTTCTTCTTGATACTTGAGAATAGTTTCTAAAATATGAATATATTTTATACTGAGGCGTAGAATTTCATGTTTGCTTAATTTTTTATCCGGTGGATGTGTAGGTAGGATATATCTGAGCTCGGCAAATGCTTGATTAACACTACGCTGACGTTGACGTTCACGACTATCCACTAATGAGAAATCATGCCTATCAGAGAATGAATCCATTCGTAATTTTTAAGAATGAGTAGATGGATGTGTTGGGGTATATATATATCATAATGTAAAAAGGAAGCGAACATTTTATTCCATTCTCCAATAACAAACAGCGAAAATATTACAAAGGTTTAAAGTGAACAATATCAGATGTGAATGACTCGATATTATAATTAACAATTAACCAATAGAAACATGGATTAGCAACAAGAAAAACGGTGAAGAAATAGGAAAGTGAATAATAATGATTGAAAAGAAAAGTCTATGATCATTTTTGACAAACAAGAATTGAAAAGAGAATGTGATGTGAGTGTGTGTGTGTGTGTGCGAGAAAAAGACACTGAAACAAGAAAAAAGGATGATGATTACGATTATTATTCGCATAGGAATAATTAATTTTATTTTCAATTTTTATCTGATTAACTGTATTTCAGTGATAAATAACTAAGAAAATTATTCAAGAGGAAAGAATGATTTAACGACTAATACTGATAACTTCTATCAAGTTTTATCAGTTTATATAATTTAAGAAATTTAGAAGATAAGACTATCAAGCACACGAGATATTCCCAGTATAAGTATATTAATCACATCTCACACATACAAGTGAATTGATAACTTAGTGGTTAAGGCATTCAACCTCTGGCCAATATGTCGTGAACCTGATCCTCTATCCATCTACTTCAGTTTAGGCAACTGAATAGTATCATGTTTTTACACTTCGAGGATAGTTTATACCCAAGTATCTGGTGAAAAGATTAATCATATAAATAATGAATACGAACTTTTGAGCGTGTTTTTATGAGACATTTATTAAAAATGACAGGGAATCTAGTCATAAAAATGTAAACATATTACCAGGACAATAAAAAGCAAAGTCGAATAAGCGACTAATTAAAGAACATTTAGGTATCATAAATTTTGGATCTCACCACTTCAGCTTACACAAAAAGATAAAACATTCACAATTTAATAGGACTATGATACACATATGAGACTGAAAGTGAATTCGGACGACGACTTTTGAATAGAATGATATAGTGCAGTTTAAATTTTAACTGTAAGCTATTAGCACTGTTGTATAACCAAAGGTACATTGTAAAGCACATAAGTAATATCAGTAGACACCAATAGCAACAGTTCCACTAAAGATACTTGAATAACGCGAAGAAATAAATGAAATGTCTTTAGGTTGAAGACTCAATTCCGTTCTAATGTAAGCAAACAATAGACACTTAAGAATATTTCTAATATTAATTAAAATAAGCAAATATCTGAGATAAAACCTGTCTCTCATGAAATAAAGATTTCTAAAACAGAATGCTTTATTCAAATAGAGAAAATGATTCAATCTTTAATGGAACGTGAAACTGGACTGGGAACTTGATTATGCAATACTGCGACAAATTTCTATTTAACATGCATTCACAAACTGTAAGTATTTATTGATATATTTTATAAATGCTATTAACAATCAGTAGTTCCCATTTATTCTCGGTCACAAAACGTTTTTATTAGTTCAACTGCTACAACTATTTTACAACAGCCATGCATGAATTATGACATTCATCCCTCGTTTATATCGAAGAACAGATAAAGAGGAAAATATACCAACAAATGTGACATTCCCTTTTAAACTTTCCGATGTATAACAACCCAATAAATTGTAAGCATTCTATTACAGTATTTGAGTGCATATAGCTAGTATTCATAATCATTCAATCTAAACTGATTGAAAACAGTAACGTTAATTACTATATTTATAGTTAGGAGAAAGGTGGCCCAAACGTCTAGATAAGTCACCTTAGAATCTAAATTCATTAAACTAGATAACTGACGTAACCAATTTTTGAACAATTGTCTAGTACACTTATAATGAAAATTGCTGACACTGATCAGCAAAGTAATAGAGACTAGGAAGTACGGAATAGCTGTTTCGTTTTTGCTAGAGAGCATTCACAAATGTATTATTACTAGTAGATACGAAGTTTAACTCGATTGCTAGTAAACTACTGTTTAGTCAGCATGTTTAGATCTAACGGTCAAATTCCAAACAATCGATTTGAAATAATGCGCAATCCTTATCGATTTGAGTGACATCTGTGGCCTCTTATTTTTAATGGTTTACCAGCTAATACCAAGCTGGGATCAGAACTACCTTTAAGCAGGTATCTGCATCACAAGTGATTCATGAAGAATATACACAATCCTACATTATACGTGGCCTGTTTTCTTATTTATAAGCATATGAAATCATAGAAACATTCGACAAGCAAAATACGATTTTTCGAATGTATCTGAACACATGCGACGGCCGTGTAGGATACTCACTTGTCAACAAATATTTCCGACATTTTCTTATTATTTTGCTAGGACAAAATAATTCGTTTATTCCTGGTAAGTTTTGTTACACCAAAAGACCAATATTTAGACGTGGTTTTGTTGGTAATATAGAATTTATTAGGATTAAACCATTTGTTACTGTGATATTTTGTTAAGAGGTTATCAGTTTACTACTCAACGTCAAATGAGTCAGTCGTACGCAACACAGAACTTGACACATATGTGTATCATTTCAAGTTCCCACACCACACAAGCACAGAAGTGTCACAGTAATATATGCAGTAACAATATTAGTGATGGTAGAAAAGATTATGTACATGAGATAAGATGATAGAGCAAAATACGGATTCATGGAATAAATGAATTCTTTGTGATGATTAAGGAACTTAGGATCTAAAGGGGAAAAAAGAGTGGATGTGCTTACGTTACTCCAAATGATTCCGAGCCATCATCCTAAGTCTTTAGACATTGGTTATAATGATCGCGCGGACCTACCTACATATATTTATGAAATATACACTACAAATCAAGTTTTGAAACTTATATGCATGATAGATTAATTGCTTAGTAGGAAAAATACCTAGTCCGGAACGACAGCGAGATCCTCAACAAAGAATTCTATACTAGAAAACATAACACTCATAAATAATTATAAACCAATGGAAGTGTTAAGGAACTAGCACCGAAAATATAGCACTATTCAACTGCTAGGAAATATTTTAACCCGACCAATCTCGTGGTTATAAAACTAAATTGCTTATGATAATCAGGTGAAAGACTTAATTTACTAATTATTTACAAATAGCCTTTAGTAATAAAGTCTAAAAGCTCGTGACCTTTAACTTGATATATTGCTCAAAAATATAGGGAAGTCCTACTCATTGCCTTTTCGTGGCGCGGGTGTTGTTTACCAAAATGGGAGGACGAAAAGCGAATGTCCGGCGCTTTAACCGGATTGCAAACTAATGGTGCACATGGGCTCCAGTATCCTGCGGGAAAAACGGCGTATGAGCCAATTGTTGGTCACCGGCTTCCATGGGAATGCATCTCCTTACGATGCTCCACTACCTTGTGGATCAAACCTTCAGATCGAAGGCTCGGGTAGTGGCCCTCTAAGAAAACCACCTGCTTTAATTTGGGCGTCCGGGCAGTATCCCAGCCCTCACGCATATCGAATGAGATTTGTGTGGCGCATTTGTATTTGGTGCCTCCTTGTACCAATATCTATGTGTTAAAATAATAATAAAAAGCATTCGTACACCCTAGTTGGTAATAACAGGCTTTCAAAGCATCAATTCATCTCGAAGAACGAATGCTTAATAAATGGTGTGCTTTAATAATTGTGATTGATAGACCCAGACAAGGTCTACTGAGGTTTCGAAAGCCAGATGATCTAATCCATATTACAACCAGACATAAGAAGCTATCACGACGTATTGACCCTAATGTAGTTCTCCTATACTATCCCTAGAAGTCAAATAAGCTTCCTTAACTGAAATCTTTCTTACCTGTATTTCTAACTTAAAAGTAACTTTTAAGAGACATCGATCTTGTTTATGTATTGTATGACACATTTTTTCGTTCCGTTATATCTCGACTTCATTTGTGTAGGCAACGTTTTAGCATATTATTGTGCCAGAACTTATGTTTTGAATAGACAGATAAATGAAAAGGTACTTAATCCAGTCATTCGAAGAATAAATAACATGAAGCCTGGTGACTTAAAAGGTTTTGATGAATTACACATACCTGTCTTAGACTTTATCCCAAACAGATTAATAAGACGGTTTAAATCATTTGTATACCTTGAGCGCAGACACACAGCTTAACCTGTTAGCTTGATTGCCATAGTTGTCATCCTAGTCACTATGAATAGCGCAATCTACAGATAACAGAGTAACACAGCTTTCCTACAGCTGCAGGTTTACTTTTGCATAACCTCTGCTTTTTCCTGATCTTCCTCTATCATTTCAGATTCACTTCCTACTTTAATTAGGTTGGGAATCCAATGATGCATCCTTGTTCTGTAGTTTATGTACGAGAATATCCTCTTGGGCTGCTTGAGTGCAGATTGTGCCAGCTGCATTTCATATTTTCTTTGAGCTTCCCGAATTTTAGTTATACATTCGTTTCTTATCGATCTGTAGGGTTCCATCGTACCTGCTGTGCCAAGGCGGATGGCAACATACCAGCATTTCTTCTTTTGTCTTAGTAAGCGTCGAATATCCCGCCCTATCCAGGGATGTCCGTGCTTCTTTTTCTTTGGGACAGTCCAGGGTATGTATGGTTGAGTTACCGGATTGTATAACTGCCTGAATAGAGTCCATGCCTCTTGTACTGATGCCTTTGAGTCAATTTCCCAGTTCTCAGCCGATGCTGCGGAGTTAATTGCCTGCATATATGCCTTCCATATGTTGGGACGGGCCGGCGCAACTGTTTGACAAGCAATCTCAGCCATGAATTTGAATAAGATGACTGCATGGTCACTTCTCCCAAGTGGTGGGAGAAAAGCCATTTGACCAACGTCATCACCGTGCGTGAAGACTAAATCTAAAAGAGAAGAAGAGTTTCTTAAGTCGTATCTTGTGGGATCTCTAATGTGTTGGAATAATGCTAGTCCAATCGAGGTTTCTAACAGTTTGCAGTCAAACGACGATATCAATGATCCT